TCTTGCAGTTTACTCTTGAAAACAAAACCAAAGGGTTTCATAAACAGACCTTGGGTTCACTGGCTGACGAGAAGTTCTGTGGATGCTAACATCAGTGATGGGTGATTCTCAAAAGAGGGGATTTGGCAGAAGCTCTGTGAGGCCACCAGATGGGTGGGATGTTTGCCTGAGCACATCTCCACAGGCCTAGGCTCCAAGATGTCGCCAGGACAGAATTCACGGGGAGGCATCAGGGCCTTGTGGGTGGGACCCAGGCTAAACGGCAGAAAATGAGTCTTTCTCGGCTGGTTCACTTTTTGTAGATTGTCGTTCTTTCCAAAAGGGGGGGGGGGGCGCTACAACTGGTTATTTCACTGAGGTTCTGATGCTCCCAATGAGAACTTTTTGGTCAGGTGTCTCCCATTGCACTGGCCTGTTTCAAGGCCTGCTGGGGCCCCAGAACAGAAAAAGAACCAGGAGCTTGTCCCCTGATATTCTCCAGCATCGACTGAGCTATTCATCAGAAACCACTGGCCTCTGTAATGCCTGGAGGCTGGCATATTTGGCAAGGCTTTGAGTACTTCCTGCCCCAAATTCAGAAGCCCCCACACCCACATATATGTATTGGTAAAGTAATTGTTAGAATATAAGCTCCTTTTGAGCAAGGACTGTTTCATTCACTGTCTTTGTCCCCACGGTGCCTAGCTCAGTGCCTGGCACAAAGCAGGTTACTGCTGATTTACTGAATGCTGTATGCAGTACATGCTCTTTCCCCAATTTGGATAAAGTCCATGCTGGATGGGGCTTGGTTCTAATAAGTTACAATGAGTCCTTCCAGGGTCCTTAATCTGGGGTCCATTAACTTGTTCTTTAAAAATATTTTTATAATTGTGTTTCAATGTAATTGGCTTCCTTTGTAATCCTCTGTGTTTTATTTTATGTGCTTAAAACCGTGATTCTGAGAAGGGCTGCAGAAGCTTCACCAGATGGCCAAAGCAGTCGAGGACAAAGAACAGGTTGGACCCTTAGACCACATGGAAAGAAAATGTGGTGTCTGGGGGAAAGTGGCTTCGTGATATTCTTGTTCTCCATCATGCTAAGGAGGACATAGCTACAGAAGATCATAGCTTAGGAGCTATGATCAAGGCTATAGAGTGGTAATGAAGGAAAAAGAAGAAGAGAATAGAAGAAGGAGAAGGAGAAGAAGAAGGAGAAGGAGAAGAAGAAGAAGAAGAAGAAGAAGAAGAGGAAGAAGAAGAAGAGGAAGAAGAAGAGGAAGAAGAAGAAGAGGAAGAAGAAGAAGAAGAAGAAGAAGAAGAAGAAGAAGAAGAAGAAGA